CAAAAAAAAAAAAAAAAAAAAAGGGAAAAAAAAGAAAACTGATTAAAAAAAAAAAGAGAGAGAACAGTAGCTATTCCAGCCATCTTTTAGCATGACGCAGCTGAGCAGGTGGTAACAGTCTTTGCCCTTTGTCAATTCAGAGTTCTTAACATTGACTCTACTATAAATATAATTTCAAAAATGTGCTTTTCTAGTAAATAGACAGGAAATCTGTATCTAATACAGATATCATTCAGAAACATTCAAATGCTACAGCAAGAAAAAATGAATCTACTTCTAAAAACTACATATTTTTTTCTCTTTTTGAGACAGTGTCCTGAATGTAGTCCAGACTGCCCCTGACCTCTACTTCTCTTACGTCAGCTTCTCAAATGCTAGGATCCCTGCATGCCCCAACCTGCCCAGCTTAAAAGAAAAATACGTTTTAAACAATGTACACATTTTAGGAAAAAAATTCCCAAAATGCATTTGCCATTTGCCTGCCTTGTAACAAGTAATACAAGGTGCAGACAGTACCTGCAGAGCCATGGCAATCTGTACAAACCACTCCACCACCTGACGCTCAGGCAGCAGCTGGCCTTTCTGCTCCTTGAGCTTCCGGTACAGATCACCTCCTTCACAGAAGCCCATGACGATATAGAGCAGGCCGTCCCCTCCTTCCCATGACTCCTTGTAAGTGACAATGTTGGGGTGCTTCAGCTGAGACAAGAGCTGAGCTTCCTGTTCGGCAGCCTGCCGCTCTCGGCTGGTTGTATTTCGGAGGTTCAGTTTTTTGATGACATACTAACAAAGAAAATATGGATTTTATTAAGCAAACATATAGTTTTGTAGGTTCTTCAGTATCTAAAAGCTCTTAAGAAATGTTCTCAAAATGAACCTTCTAGAACCTGTTAATGTATTCATTTTGTATTTTAAGAAGCATAAAATTGGGGAAATATCGGTTAATTCTAATGATGCTTTGTGTATGACAGATTCATGCCAACTGAGATCACAAAAAAATTATCCTTTCCACCTGCATTTCACAGTTACATTGCAGAGACCTGCAGTCTCAGCTGCTTGGGAGGCTGAGGCAGATGGACCATTTGAGCCTCAGAACTCAAGGCCAGCTCATTTTAAAACAACACACACACACACACACACCCCTACAAAAAGCATTTCCATTAACAGCTAAACAGTGAATCTGAGCTCACATACCGTTAGATCAATCATAAAATCTGGAACTGTGGAGTAACTCAGCAGTAGAGCAGTTGCCTAGCATACATAAAGCCTTGGGTTCAATACCCAGTACCACAAAAGAAAACAAAAATGTTACTAGGATTCCTCGAGGGCCGGCCAAATAGTTCAGCGGATTAAAGCACCTGCAAGCAAGTGCCGGGGCCAGGGTTCGATCACTAGGCCTGGCGTGCTGGCCCCGCCCACGGGGTGTACTGAGACAGCAACTGAGACTGGGCGTGGTGGTCACACCTATAATCCCAGTTCTTGGGAGGCTGTAAACAGGCAGATCTCTACTAGTCCGACCTAGCAGTGAGACCCTGAACACCTTGTAGACCCTTCCCGAAAAACACACACACACAAAAAAAAGATTGCTTAAACTCTAAGTTCTTCTTACAGGAGTGCAAAAAAATGTGGCTTAAATATACATCACCTGCTGGGCTGGGGAGATGGCTCAGTGGAATGAGCGCTTCCCTGGCAAGCGCAAGGGCCTGAGTTCAATCCCCAGTTCCGCCCCACCCAAAAAAATCTATCTATATATATAGATATATATATCTTCTAACAGTATGGGTCTATGAATTACCTTAGATTCTTAAAGGATTACAGGGCCCCATTAAATTAAAAATCATAGATCCTCAGCATACAAAACTACTCCCCCTTTTAAAAAAAATAGTAATCTCTAGCATCTAATACATCACCCTCAACTCAAAGACCACCCAATTCTTTTCTTTCATAAACATATACATTAAGTGTGCTTTGTGAAATATAAACTACTGCTCAAAGAGATCAAGTCATCTTCCATCCTCTGCTCAAAAACCTAACGATCCTTCAGTGCCCACTGAATAAATCTCCTAGGCCTCAGTTTGTTCCAGGCAGAACAACAGCACCTGAGACAGGAAGAAGAGAAGGGGTCTTTTTTGGGGGGTTGGGGGTGTGTGCATCTCTTCTCAGTTTTCCTGGCGCCACCGCGTTATCTTCCTTGGTGTAACTACTAATAGTGTCTCCTTTCAGTTTCAAACCTGCCTCAGCATCTACATTATGTGTTCGCCCTATTGATAACCCACACTGAGGGCTGGAGATGTGGCTCAGCAGTAGAGTGCGTGCTTAGCGTCCATGAGGCCCTGGGTTCAAACCCTAGCACCACCTAAATAAACAAATCACACGTAAGAACTGGTTTGCTATCCTTTGGGTGATGAGACAAAATGCTTTAAGCAATGGCATCACATTTAAATTTCAAGAAAGATCGCGGAGGCTGAATGAAAGGGAGGATGAGCCATACATAGCTCAGCTAGAGCGAAGGGCGTGCTGGACGTGGGCGACACCAGCTGAGGTGGAGAGGAGGCCTGCTGGGTTAGCGACAGAAGCACAGAATCAGATTGGGGCAGAGCATTAAAGACAACCCCCACGTGTCCTCCTTAGACAGCTCACTGAAACGGGGCCGTGAGAGGTTTGACAGGAAGATGACGAGTCGAGTGTTAGAGTCCAGCAGGCTGCAGCAGAACCGTTCGGGACCCTTCCGGCAAGGAGCGGCGTTTGCCAGCCGCTGCATCAGATCCCGGGAAGGCGCGATGGCTGCGCTCAAGGAATTGTCAGGGATGGGGGAAAGGTGCGTAGGTCAAGCACACTAGTTAATACTACACAGGAGAAGTAGAGGAGGTCGGGGAGCGTCTCCCGGAGTGCTGGCCTCGTTTGGATAACCTGAAGTGATTTCCCTACGGAGACGTCATTCAGGATGAGCCCCTTCACGTCACCCCGGCCTCGTCCTCTGCACAGCGCCCGCGGCCCTCCCGGCCCTCCCGGCCCTCCCCGGCCCCGCGGACCTGCTTGCCGTCCCGCCGGTGCTTCACGAGCGTCACCTCCCCGTAGCTGCCCCTGCCCACGACCCTCACGTAGCAGTAGGCGGCCAGGGGCATGTTCCTGGCGCGGGCCCCCAGTCGGGCTGCGGCGGCGGCGGCAGAGGCAGGCAGGGCAGTGGGCTACGGTGGTGGGCCGCACTCATGCCCGAGAGGCGGCGGTGGGGTGGGCGGCATCAGTGGCCTTGCTGGGATAAGCCGAGCAAGCGCCAGCCCACCGCGACGCCGCTGCCATAGCGATCCCCGCCGGGAGGTTCTGCGCATGCTCGGGCGTCTCGGAGGCGCGGCCATAGAGCCGACGCTGGAGCGGCCAGAGTGGTTCCGCCGCCCCGGGAGGACTTGCCATAGAGGCAGCACGTTGGGCAGCTAGAGCGGCTCGGCCGGGTCCTGCGCGCCCAGTTTTAGCTTCGGTCCCACCGCGCTGGTACCCGCTGTAATAGAGGCTGGGTGATTTCCATTCACTGAACCGTTAGTGCTTCTGAGCTCCTTGCAAGTATGGTCCAGTCGTTCTACAAATAGTTCTTGACTGTCTGTGTGGTTGGCCCAGAAAGTTTCTGAATTCCTGGAGCTCAGATTCCAGTGAGCGGGTGACGGGTTCCAGCCGCACCAATAATGTTTCATGTATCTGCTTTTTCACGTGCCTGCCAATCTTTGCACCCATCACAGTTCGTCTTTTTTATACTTGGCAAAGTAAATGCACTGTAAATAACAGTAGTGTGCTTCGATCTTTAAAAAAACTTAAGCCTTGGGGCCGGGGAGATGGCTCAGTGGAATAAGCGCTTCCCTGGCAAGCGCAAGGGCCTGAGTTCGACCCCTGGTTCCGCAAAAAAAAAAACAAAAAAAAACAAACAAACAAAAAAAAAAAAAAAAAAAACAACCTTTAAGCCTTCTTATTGAGAATTGCAAAGAATTCCCAGTACAGTATAATGACTTAAACTACCGCGATGAGAGACTTCAACAGTCTCTAGCCCACCTTCTAACAGTTTAAAGCCAGATCTCCAGGAAAATCCAAGTCCCCTTTAAAATGCTTGCCTGAGAAAGCTCAAGCCTGGCGGAAAGAATGTACCATTTCTTCCAGCATCTTCGTTTCCAAGAGAATTTATTTTATGTTATTTATTTTTTGATAAATTCATCTGTAGAAATTCAGGCTGCCTCTGAACTCTCCGTGTAATCCAGCTTGGTCTCGAACTCATGGCGATCCTCCTGCCTCAACCTCCCAAGTACTGGGATTACAGCCCTGTGTCACCATGCTCAGCAAGAATACTTTTAGGAAAGGCATGTAATTATAAAACTTTTCCCTACTCCTTTTAATTATATATTATGTATTCCAGCAACTGGGAATATTTCAAAACCAAAATCTCTTCCTTTGAAATGACATATGCCAGGTGTAACAAAAAACACAGATCAGTGTTTTTAACCTTTATTTCATTATCACTCCCCATAAGATTCTTAGGCAGCTTTTATTTTTTTAGACAGCTTTTAAAATCATTTTCAAAAAAAAAAAATCATTTTCTTCTCATGAAACTTTAATATCCCAAATACACTTTGTTATCCCCAGTACCTTACTAGAGGCCAATACTGTTGTTTCTTCTCACCATGCATTCATTTTGTCTAAAGGAAAAATTAAATTACATCATATACTCTTTTGCATGTAGTATTGCAGGCAGCATAATGTCTAAGAAACTCATCTGCGGTGTCACTTGTACTGCACTGCACGTCTGAGGCTCTGCTTATTTCCTGTACTAGTCTGACCTGAGCCCGTGGCAGACTGCACACAACATCACTTTCTGGGCACCACCACAGTGAAGCCGGGCTGCCATGCGGTGAGCTGATGCCTTAGGAAAAGAGTCAGCCAAGCTGAAGGAAGCCCCATGAATCCCAGGAAGTGGCCAGAAGCTGAAGAAGCACCAAAAGGAAAAGCTGTAGAGATCTCGAAAGGTGGAACGCATCTCTACAGGAATTAACTGGATCCTGGAGGAGGTGGCTGGGAAAATGTACAGCATCACATTGATCTATCTGATCTTCAACAAGGGTTAGCAAAACAGGTCAGAAAGTCACCTGTGCCTGAGGACATTAAACCTTTCCCAGAAGTTGCTCTGAGACAAAGTCCAGAATGAGCAAACAGATCAGTGAGGCCTCTGGGCCCCCATCAGGGTCAGGGCAACCAGCTCGTCCCGCCCAAGGACAGAGTGGACTGACCAGGGGCCATGTCCGCCCAGTATGCTGAGGCTTGTGGTAGATGGGGAGAATCTGGGTATAAAATGAAGGAACCACATGTATGAGAGGAGACTCTTAAGAACTCTGCCATTTGGACCTTCAACTCTGCTGCTTCTTCCTTGCAAGGCAAAGGGAATTTCTGTCAGGGTGGAATGGGCTCTGGAGTGTGAGAAGCCTGGATGGGAACCCTGGTTCTGTCACTTGCTGTGGGGCCAGTGTCCCAGGGACACCATGAGACTGGAAATTGGAAGATAAAGGGCTGAGAGAAAGGTGTGGGTGGGTCATAATGAGCCATCAAGGGTGAAAACTTGACATCTCCCCTTTCCTCCTGTCAGACATCCTTGTCTGGGTGGCAGAACAGCAAAGCTGATATATGTCCTACCTTCCAAATGTGTGGATACAATCCAGAACAATGAAGCAACATGCTGAAAGCATGGATCACCATTAAGCCTCCCTCTTGCAACAGACCGAGACTGCCTCTGACAGAACTATTGTCAGGGTTGGCATCACTAGAGTCACAGGTGTGGCTAAGTGTCATAGTACTGTCCAAGCCACCCCTGGCCTAAAAATGACAGCAAAGTGTATTGATGCTTAAAGGACTTCTAGGCATGATGACATGCTGTAATCCAAGCTCTCTGGAAGGCTGAGGCCACGGGATTGCAAGTCTGACCTAGGTGGGCAACTTAGTGACTTAGCAAGACCTTGTCTCACAAAGGGGAGTAGTGAGGCAGAGGATAAAGCTGAGTGTGAAGGCCCTGAGTACCCCACTACCAAAACAAGTTTTTAAAAATATATTGTTTAATGAAGTTTAGAAGCCACTTTAACTGTGACTTCTTGCCAGTTGTCCCCGTGCCACTAGACACAGGGTGAGATGCGCAGCGGAGGGTCTTCACAATTCACGTCACCTCAGTGAGCTCCACAGGCCACGCCATGTGCTGGTTGGGAATTTGCACAGCCCAGAGCTGGGGACCGCCCCCGGCAAGAGAGAGGGCCTCCATGGTTGATTTTTGATCTGCGCATTACAATATTTGCCTTCACTGTGTCTAATGTTTAATCCATGTTTATCCAGCACTGCATTGATTAATGGTCTGAGTAAAGTGACAGGACAGCAGGGGCCTGGAGACCATGGATGGTGCCAGGGGGCTTCAGACACTGCTGTGTGTATATCTGTTTTCCTTCCTCACCCTGCAGGCTGTGCCCACTTTGGGCTCCACCACAGGCAGGTCCAAGAGCAATGAGGTATGTGGCAAAGCCTTTGGGGCACAGACAGGCAGATGTGTCTGGAGGGGCCCCTGGAGGGACACAGAACCCTCCCTTCAGGGGTTGGGGCCTTCACAGCCCACCCTCAACCACCTCTGACTGGACAGGTCACCCCCTGCAGCAGAAGGTGAGGCAGAGGGGCAGAGGACAAAAGCTGTGCTCCCACCCTCGCCTCATAGAGCACAGGCCGCGGTCTCCACACGTTCCCACTCACCCCCAGCCCTGGCTTTGTTTTGCAGAAACGACAGGCTGTGGACACAGTGAGTGAGATTCGGGGCAAAGGGGTCTGTGATGGGGCCCTCGCTACAGGTTTGCCTTCTGCACCCCTCAGGGGTGAACTCCTCCAGTGGGTGCCACTGGCAGAGGGAACCCCTATCTCCTGCAGTAGGGGGCGCTGTTCCCACCTCACCTCATGCCCTCCCCACAGTCTGAGCAGAGAGGAGGGTGTCCTTCTGTGAAGTCCTGCCTCTCCGTGTGGCATCTGGCACCCTCCATCAGAGGTGAGCCTCAGTATGACAGAGGTCTCTCCCTCCTGTCTCATTTCAGAAAGCCAATGGTGTATTCATCCAGAGTTTGAAAGTCAACTGCAAAGTTACATCTCGTTTCGCTCACTATGTGATCACCAGCCAAATGATCAATACTGCTGACAGAGCCAGGGAAGTAGCCTTTGAGATGGAAATCCCCAAGACGGCCTTCATTAGTGACTTCGCCATGTGCGTGTCCAGTCTGACTTCCATGCCTGACCCCAGATGTGTCCATTCATCTGTCCCAGCCTAAGACCAGAGTGCCCCGACAGCGTAGACTGTCTCCTCACTTCCAAAAGAGGCATAGCTAGCCCTAGTGCTGAGGGAAAGAAGCTCTTGGGGTCTGTTCTTGGTTCCCATCTTAGAGGCAAACTGGGGCCTCTATTGGGGTGTGTTTAGCCCCAGGCCTGAGGAGCAAAGGCTAGGCTTGGGCTGACCTCCATGGCCATGGCTGCCCATGGCAGCACCCACCCTGAGCAGGGAGCAGAGGACGCTCTCCTCCACAGGCTCACGTGGACAGGGCCTTCTCAGGTGTAGGCTCAGCACACCTCCAATGTGAAGTGCCTGCCTGCATGGTCAAGGAGCAGTACTGAGGGCCTTCTTTCTTCCCCACAGCACAGCAAACAGGAACGCATTCATCGGAGACATAAAGGACAGAGTGACTGCATGGAAGCAATACCGGAAAGCTGCCATCTCTGGGGAGAACGCTGGCCTTGTCAGGTATGTTCCGGGGCCTGCTGGCCTGGCCTCCAGGGCTTCCTTCCCCAGTCCAACAGAGCTGAAGGCTACAAGGTGGCCATGACTGGGGAACAGCCCCCGAGTACAGAAGTGTGAGCAAACTGCCCAAACGCAGATGCCAGAATGGGCAAGGCTGGCACACACCCCAGGTCTCTTGGGGAGAAATGGGGCCCCACCCTCAGCAGTGACCTTGATCAGGCAACCGAGACAGGGAAAGGGTCTAGGGCTGGGGGAAAGAACCGTAGCGTGGGAGCAACCGATTCCGAGGGCCATGCTCTGGATGAAAAGGACCCACATGCCATTTGCCATTTGCCTGCCTTTTCTTGCTTCTGGTTGCATATCTAGGGCTTCGGGGAGAAATATGGAGCAGTTCTCCATCCATATCAACGTCGGTCCCCAGAGTAAAGCCACGTTTCGCTTGACCTACGAGGAGGTACTAAAACGAAAACTTACACAGTATGACATTGTCATCAAGGTGAAGCCCAAGCAGCTGGTGCAACATTTT